TAGGCGACGTGTTTTTATCTGCACATTTCGTTTATGCAAATAATTAGAACTGCACATGCCTCACTTTTGTATAAAAAATTAAAGAAGTTAGTCGATTCGCAGGCCGTAGTTGGATCGCGATATCTCTCTTATTAGGGCGTATTTCCAACTGCACAGGGGCTTAAAAAACTGCACATTGTCTAAACTTAATTGCACAGTCAAAATTTCTATCTGCACACTCTTGATTAATTAATAAATAAATAAAATCTCTTTATTTATTTTTCATTTAAATTCAGTTTCATGTTATAACGTAATACAGCCTCCTTCTTTGATTAGTTGACCCACGTAAACATGCGCGTGGACCTATTTTGTTTCCTATAGTACCAGGATATGCTGAAATACGAGGACCAAGCAGACAAGCACCTGGAGATCCAGTTAACATTTTGAAAGGGAGTGATAAAAATAATAAACCCTTCTGAAAAAAACAAGATGTAATTCCACGTGTAATTACTTGTGTAATAACTTCGGAAAAGCCATATGGCATTACACATGTAATTCCATAGAGGGTTTTGGTATGGTAAATGCCATTAGAAATTACATATGTCATTACATATGGCATTACATATGGTATTAATGTAATTGTAAAATTATATTAAAATTTTTATTGAAGGATTTGGAAAGAAATTGATTAAAATGGGCAAAAAAATTTGTGTTAATTACCTCAAAAGTGACTCAACATTATTTAGTCAACCGCAAACAATGACGAAAGTCTGTATACAACATCGAGCGAAATTATTTAGTGATGTCATTCTAAAAAGAAATAGTTATATTTGTTGTAAACATTCGTTTAATCGTTTATTCTACATTAATTTGTGTAAAGTGTTTATTGTTTACAAAAAATACATTCTTACCACTAAATTTATAAAATTGTGAATTGCTAATGACAGATCTGGTAAACATAAAAAACCGTGGAGGACCAATATCAATTGTGATTTATATGATTGACCGCAAAACACAGTAAAGTGCTTTGTCAAACTCATGAAAAATTATAAAAATAATAAATATGAAGCAACTATTAAAAGTATCATATAAAACTACAATTGAAAGTTCCCTTGCAATGAACATAAAACTAAGAACACAAGAAATTTTAAAAACCTAAGTTTACTCGTTACTTTTCATATATTTCATAATAATTATTTCTTTATACTGCGTATTACTGTATTTCATGTAAATAAATTTTTTTTTAAGCAAACATTACACTGATACTTTCGCTAGTATTATTCTAGTGTTTGCCAACACTAGTAGTACAACCATACGTGTGTTCCAGTATTGCTTTCCGAAAACTTACCGGCAACTTCGTGTCTTATCATCTTAGGGTGAGATTACGTGGAGTCTGGCTCGCTTCCATTATAGCCCACTAGACTGAGAGAGAGGTCCGATCACGTGACCGAAAGTTGTATCTTATTGTATGTGGTCACGTGATTGGACCCCTCTCTTCGTCTAGGGGGCTGTAAAAGGAGCGAGTTTGCCAGTCTGCAAGATGGCCAGACTCCATTGAATCTCACCCTAATGATATCGTGTGATATGTTTAAGTTGCCGAAAAGTTGTCAGAAAGTAATACTGGAACACACCCTACATAGTATTTGGACACCTACCCCCACTACTACCCCGTCCACCATGTTCGGCCAAACAGTCCCGAGTGCTTGGCACACAATTTAAATCTATTTCATATTATATTCCACTCGCATACATAACTAAAATCCTTTTTTTTTTTTTCTAAAGAAATCTTGAGCTAACCATCCTAATTTGTTATTTGAATATATATTTTAGCATATTAATAAAGATTTTGATTGTGTCAACATTCAAAAAAGAAAATGAAGTAGATTTAAATTGTGTTAATTGGCTGAACATAGTGAACGGAGTAGTAGTAGGGGTAGGTGTCCAGACACTGATATTCGACTCTCATTTGCCATCTACTCGATCTTGAACGAAACAGCACAAATATTTCTTTTATCTCACCAAAATTATGCCAACATGGGATTAACTGTTCTATATCTTACACCGCGACATGGACCTAGGAGCTATTCACAATTTTTTGCTTATTTCTTTGTGAACGTTCATATTGAAAATGGGGTTCCACTGTTCCGCTAAACTCAAATTGAGTGAACAGACTGAACAGACCTATACTGTGTTCTCTGTCAGTCAACATAGTTGCGACTATATATAGCAGGGTTGGGATTCTGTTGCCTGATGAAAAAAGAAGTATAGGTCTGTTCAGTCTATTCACTCAATTTGAGTTTAGCAGAACAGTGGAACCCCCTTTTCAATATGAACGTTCACAATGAAATAAGCAAAAAATGTCTGTGTGAATAGCTCCCTAATTTGTTTTCTTGTACCATCCCGACTAGAAATGACCACTGGACGGCACTGGATGGCCGTAGTTGAACAACAGGCCCTGGTCAGTATTGTAATGAGGTTAACGAAAGGGTATGGCCTATGGCCAGGCTCAAATGATGGAATACGTATTCGCTGTGTGCAAGTCCTTGGAGGGGGTAAAAAAAGGCGATCTAAGAGCCCATAGTGAGAAAAATGTGCAAAATTTCAGGACTCAAGAGGATTCATACCATTATTGATTGCATGTTATTGAGTTTTTCAATATTTCGAATCACCGAAGGTCAATATAATTATTATTACGATAAAGTCATGGTTCACAGCTTTTTTTATTGAAAAGATATTCAATGTAATTTTCAACCATAAGAATGGTAGTTACTAAAATAAAGCTAATAGAGATGTCATTTACTGTCACTTAACTTACGTCACACCCACGTAACTTTACGGTCGAGATGAGTCTGTTCTGCTTCAATACTACAATTTGGAAGAGTGCGCAAATTTTGAGAAAAAAAAAATTAAGCTTTAAGTACATACTTAGTATGATATTACTACGAGTAGGAATACAACAGAAACAATCTTCTCTGTTTTCTATCCAAAAGCGTTGAATACACATACACACACATGTATATACCATAATACATATTATGTAGTCCGTAGTGCTGTTGGTACAGTAGATACATGTTATACATATATTATATCTGATAGACCCTGAACATAGCCTGCGGTCAACCTCATTACACCGTGTGATAAACTCTATTATACATTTAAGCCTGCCCAAGTGCCCAGGCTCTGGCATCGATGTAAGGCTGGCCTGGCCAGGGCCTGGTCTTAGCCTTTGGATCACATTCTTGTCTGGATGGAATAAGAGAAATAAGAGCGGAAATAAGAAAATTAATATATCGATGTTTTATACTTTTTTGAAAGTGAACAGACGGACAGGACAGTCGCGGATTATCTTTTGAAACAAGTGCATACTTAGTCCTTTGATATTTGGTTGCGTTCGAATAAATCGCATTCGCAATTTCGCATCCTAATCGTATCCCAAATTCCAACCCTATGTTGGCGTTATCGTCGAGGATACGATTCGGATATGGTTAGGATGTGAATACGATTTATTTTCGAACGCAACCGTTATTCCTTTTATTACCTGTACTCTGTACTTCCTTATTCCTCGCTTTTATCGCATTTGTGTGCAAACTGCAAAGGCCCTTACTTCAACTTAGTGTATTTAGGCCCTTACAGGTTTGGTCATTTAGTGAAAACAATATCACTTCTCCAATCAGTTAATCAGTAGCAATAATTTCAGTTTCGCAGGTATTGAAAAGTTAATACTTTCTGTATCATTTAATTTTATTTATACAACATTGTACATATATACTTCTAAGTGATGGTCAGTACCAATGAATAATGAGGAGGAATTCAAGTTAGTTAAATATAAAAACCATCGGCAAAGTAAACCTCAATTCAAAATAAAGACCAAACGGGAAGTAATTGAAACTGAGTCTGTAGATGAAATTATCAACAGGATAAACACAACCACTCAGCATTTTAAAGAGTCACCTTTTTATCAAACTTTGCTTAGTGCATTAAATAAAGCATTAGCTACTTTGAATTTGAATGGTGTTGCTGAAATCATTTGCTATGGTCTTGGCAATTTTTCAGAGCACCTGAGTTCAAAGTATCAACTTGCCGCATTGTTGTGTATTAAATTGGTGTATTCTTCTAAAGTATTGATCTATGATCCACTTTTTACAAAACATGAAATTGAGTGTCTTGAGAAATTAGACCTACATGTTTTAAAAATCAATGATGAAGGAAAAAGATGCATAAACAATTACTCGACACTTGTTTTCATGCCACATTGTACAAAAATACTGACTAATAATTTTTTGCACACTAACTGGTCAACCCTAATACATAATTGTATTTTATTAGGTAACAGTTGGTCAGAACTTGAATGCCAAACCACTGATGCTTTGTTTCAGCTAACTGTACCTTGCATATACATGTTAAAGCCATATGTGAGGGAAATACATCTAAAGAATAATTTTCATTACCCAAACGCTTTCAGTGGAACTTCATTGCATATTTTTACACAAGAAAAGCTGAACACCGTTGTTGAACACTTTTGGAAATCAAAGCCAAAACTAGTAAATTTTAACAAAGATTCTGATTTCATAACAGCTAACGAGTCTGATAAAAACGCGGGGTAAAAATGAACAAAAATCTTTCACTACTGCGCCAACTGGCAAATGAAATTCGCAAAACGTCATCTGAAAAGAATATCGGGAATAATGTAATGATGCGCTACATTGTTGAACAAAGTTCAGCTCATAAGGAAACATCGGAAACGTTGTGTAAGGCTAGAGAAGAATTGTACAATTTGGCTCATAACTATTTATGCTACCTCCAGTCTATTAGAAAATATCAAGAAATACACAAGTTCTATAGTGGAAAAGGGGAACGCAGTACGAAAGAAACAGCAAAGCTTGTTGGATTTAAGTTGCCACATGACCCTCGATAACATAGTTATTACACAATTGAAAGAAGCTTAGAATTGTTTATAAAATATTAGATGTAGATGAATAAATATTGTGAAGTTAAACACGATTTCTATTTATAATTTATCATCCTGAAATTATATTTACTATTAGTTAGTTTATTGACCTTCAGTTTAACATTAAATATACTCAATTAATCTACATCAGTAATAAAATTTAGTTACTCTTTTATCCTAACATACATTATAAAAAAAAAAAAAAATATTGAATTGTATATTGAAGAAATTTTTTGTTTATTGCACCAGGAAAATTGTATTTCGTGAAAAACTAATTCTTAAAAATGAGTGCTACCAAAATTAAAAGCAGCAACGAGAGTAAGATGAAAAATTTTTGCCATAATTTACCAAAAATTGTACGTTTTCTCAAGCTTGAAACGTCTTTAATCAATGCAAGGTTGTAACATTTAGTTTATTCTGCTAAAGGAACTTCATGCACACCTAAATGGATCATTGAGCTGCCAGACTTTAACCAAATTGTTTAATATGAAGCACGCCAGGGACACTAATCATGAAAATTTTGATGTTGAAAAGTGCAATTCATTGACAGAGTAAGATCAATCAATACTTTAACATGCATTTCATAAATGTAACTTGCTTTTAAACCTTGGGTGCAAACATTGTTCTAGAATATTTGATGTTTTTTCTTTGGCTTATTCTGTTACTGAAACACCAGAAGCAGTATACACAGCAACATATGATACAATTAAAGAATTCTATGAAGATAATGTTATTTACTTAGAGCTGAGAAGCACACCACGGGCATGTGAGAAAATGACAAAAAAAGAGTATATATTAGCTATCACACAAGCCATCAAGTAGGTATCAAAAATATATTTTTTTTTTTTTTCACAAAAACAAAAAAAGTATTGTTTCTTTCTGTACAATTACAGAGACTGCAAAAAATCTAATTTGTCCATAAAAGTAAAGTTACTTATATCTGTTAATCGGAAACAAGGCTTTAAAGCAGCAAAAGAAAATATTCGACTGGCAATAGAAATGAAGCAAGAACATGACTGTATAGTTGGAATTGATTTAAGTGGAGATCCTACAAAAGGCGAGGCCTTCATAGAGCTGCTTCACATAGCTAGAACAGCTGGTTTAAAGATAGCTGCCCATTGTGCAGAGGTAAACTATTCATATTTGTATAATTAAAAGTTTTTTCATCAAAAGTTTTCCAGCTGATGCAGCTAGAATTTTAGATGAAAAGAATTAGATCGTAAATCTGGGTGTTATTATATTAATTACATTCATGTGACAGAGAAACTTATTTGATCATTTTGTTTCTATATCTTGGCATGAAAAACGGTTTTGCTGTCACTGAAATTTGTTTTTTTTTTCAAAGTTACCTTTTACTGTAATCATTGTTAGTTTTTTTAAAAATAATAAATAATGGCTAGTCCATGAAGCATTTACTATCTTCAAGGCGTCTTAATTTGGTGCAAGGGGACGTTTCACTTGCAAAGATGACTTTTGATGCTTTTAAATAACGCGAGAAAAATGATTCAATTTGACCAAGTAATCATTTTTTAGTCACATGGAATAAATCGTTCTTTACTCCCGAGTGAACGAGGGCACCATCAATTTTTTTGCAACCCCAAATTTAAATGTGGCTAGTGTCGCCATATGCCGTCGCTAATACAAAGTGTTAGTGATTTTTTGTATAATAACGTGTTATCGAACTATTTCGGGTATTTGCCCTTGTATTTTTATAGGTGATACAAAGAGAAAAAAAACGATACAACAATGTCTAAATTACATAAAATCAAATTGATCTTATCAATAAAGTAGGAAACCACAATTTTCTCCAGGCTGTCCTTAATTTGAAATTTCACTCTAAAAATCCAAAAATAAAAAAATTGACCTGTTTTTCCACTGAATTCTCGATGAATTATTTCTGACTATATAATTATTTTTTTCTAGTTTGAAAAATGAATTAGACTGATCAAGTACTGTAAATTACTCTAAACTACTAAATAAACACTCAGATTTCACAAATCAACGCAATTTTTTTTTTTTTCTAAAATTTCGTATTCTAAGCTAAAAAGAAGTAATTTTAGTTTACACATCAAAAAAAAATTAAAGGAAACTCAAGTACATATTACTCAAAGTATTTTATTACTTTTTCTTCACATAAACAATTTTTGTTCTCAACAGGTACCAAATGAAGTAGAATCAATGGACATAATAAAATTCAAACCTGATAGACTCGGACATGGTACATGTATACATCCACTCTCAAATGGATCTGAAGAATTGTATGAAACTTTTTTGAGCTCAAAAATTCCAGTTGGTAATACTTTTATGTATATTTATATACATACACACAAGCACTATTAAGTAATATGCAGCCTTAAAATTTCTTTTTTTCTCAGAGTTGTGTTTATCATCGAATATTATGTGCAAAACAGTTCCAACTTACGATGCTCATCATTTTAAGTACTTATATGAATCAAAGCACCCCCTTTGCATATGCGTAAGTTTGAATAGTCATTCTTTATATAATGTTTATGATGTATATACCCAGTTTTATAAAAAAATTTTTATTTTTAGACTGATGATAAGGGCGTTTTTAACACAACGTTGTCAAAAGAATTAATTTTGGTCATGAAATATTTCAACTTAAGTGAAAATGATCTCATTAAACTTATGAAATCTACTGCGAGTTATGCTTTTGCAAGTTGTATTGAAAAGAATGAATTAATAGAAATCATCGATGGATTTTCCAAGTCTGCTGAAAATACAGTTAAAGTCACTAAGAATTTCAAATAAAAGTGGCAAATTGTATGAAATATGATAACTTCTCTCCTGTTTACATTGAAAGAAATACATAAAATGGAATTGTAAAGTTGCTTTTACTTTTTTCGTTATTTAAAAAAAATCCTCACATTTACATCGCAGAAAGTTGGTTGTGAATATTTATTTTGGATTTTGAGGAAGCAAAGCCGTTTGTTATTTTATGTTTGTGTTATCAAACTGTAACAGTAACAGTCCACTAAACGCTTACATACTTACTGTACTGCGACAAGCATGTAAATCTATGTCATTTGTATGAAATATCATACACAAAACATGAGGAATCAGACACAAAAAAGCTTATTTTATATTGAATAGATTATTATCATTTCATAGCGTAGAATATTTTTTCTGCCACAGGACGTTTTTCGTGACATTTGGAAGTTTAGAGTGCACTTGGTAGGAAAAATAGAGTTCGCCACATAATCGCCATCCGGTCGGGGCTATGTTATGGTCCGTCGGTACCGCAAAATAGCCCCGATGATGATGATGATGACGCTTGCATGATGAAACCTACACGTAAATATTTGAGGTTTGGCGCGTTCACTACTATAGTAATTCCATACAAGTATTTGGGTAAAGCGATACAAAACTTTCACTAACATCAAAGTGATTAACTTGCAAATCATTTTTATAAAATTTATAGATGATTGTACATATCACTTGAAAATCATGCAATTAACAAATAGTAAAAAGAACATTAATAAATAACTGCAGTAAGTATATTAAGTAAGCCCGTATCTTTATTCGGATTCTGCAGATTTCATTGTTCACAATTTAAACGAATAGAGATTCTGCACTCAGCTATCAAAAAACGGGAAAATCATTTCCTTATAGGAATGTGGATTTTTGTATGATATGGCTATAGTTTTCTGCAATGATTAACAATGCGTTTTTAGCAAAATCTTTTCTTTCTTAAAGTTACCACATGGTCCGAGTAAAAAATCGGACATTCCTTTAAACCCCCCCCCCCCATAAAATCCAGGAAATCAAAAAATATTTTCAAAAATGGAATAAACTAAGTGTTTGAAAAAAAATTTTTGGAAGAGAAATGTTTATAATAGTATTTCTCGTCAAATAAGTGTCATCGTCTCCGCGGCTATTTGCGGCCCGAGGGACGTAAGGTAGCCACTGAGCGATGGCGCTTATATAGCGAATCCTATTCTTCCTACCAAAGGAGCACCAGCCTCTCAAAAACGCCCGAGGTAGGAAAAAGCATTATGCTTTGCAGGTCCCCGCGTCCCCTCGGGCCGCGAAATGGTCCCAAAGACGATATCACTTATACTATTTTTTTACATGTTTTATAATAGTTTTTAAAGTATTTACATTTGCAGATTTTTAAACTGAATTTGATTGCAATTATATCATGCCAAATCAGTACAGACAATAGATTCCGCTTATCAATCAATCAATCTACTGAAACCCCATGAGTGAAAATATGCAGTTAACTGTTGCATTTGCGAGGATAGTAAAGGAAAATTTAGAAATTTTTAAAATTTTGCTGGACGATGCAACATTTTTATTTGCAGAAAAAAAGGCCTACATTTTATCAGTGATTGAATGGATATACTCAATTTTAAATTTTAAATTTCAATATTACCATAATTATCCTCTGATAATCCTAGTATCACATTTATTTGACTTATTTTTTCTGCGAGTTGATTTACTCTAGATAATCTGCTTATTATTATTTACAATTAAGAATGTTTTAATTTTAATATTCATGATAAAAGATCGCGATTGAACCACCAAAAGTGGCGCTGTCGGCGGTACTTAACTATAGTAAGGCTAAGGCTCTCCAAAGTCACCATGCATTCTCAGAATGTTGCGATCTTAGCTTAGCGAGGGAGTGAGGGACAATTTCTCTCACTCAACGGCGCCACCTGACATAGGCTCATAGCGAAATTAGCGAATATAAGGGTAAGTGTATACCTATCTCCGTGCCCTGCCCTATTACCGTGGATTTTGAAAAACTGATGATTACTTGCTCAAAATAAGAAATGTTTCATATAAAATAATTTTTCAATTTTAATAATCTGAAATGACGTTAATGTAGATGCAATTTAAACAGAAATATTTGTGTATATTTTGAGTAAATAATTATTTTCCACGGTATTCGGTACAACGCGCTCATTAACTGATTGTGTACGTATTTCCGCGGTGAGCGTACGTAAACATAACCCTATACTTACAGAACGCACGACAGTTAACGCGTAAACAATTAGTAGGTAAGCACGTCGATATAACGTAACCAAGATGAAGAAAACTAAAAAAGGCAAGAAAGGCAAGAAAGGCAAGAAAGGCAAGAAATCGATCGAAATAAAGAAAAACAAAAAGTGTTACTCTCCAGAGACATTAAAATTAGCTTTGAAAAGTATATATTCTGGAAAATCTAATGCTGAGTGCTCAAAAATGTATAAGATTCCTACTAAATGAATAAGCAAGTACAAAAAAAAGTAATATTTTTTAAAACAATAAATAAGTCATGTAGAAAATGTAGGTGAAATTTGCATTTTTTTTTTATATTCCGCAAATACAACTTTCTTCACCCACGGTGATACGGACACGGTGATTGGGACATCCGTGGTAATACGTACACGGTAATAGGTACACAACCACGGTAATACCAACGTATCGTTTTTATTCGTTTTAAAAATATTCTACTGCAGTTTTAGCTTTATAAAATTTTTTTAAATATTCCGTAAGAGATTATGTAAGATTAAAAAAAAAAATTTTCCAAAAAATTTTAGTATACCATTTTTTATGATGCATTTAAGTTGGAATTTTCAGTACGTGCCACGGAGATAGGTACACTTACCCCTAGATCTTCACAGTTAGTGATGGGAAAATTCAGAGAGTACTATACAATTGACCTACGACGGTCTGATGTTAGATTTGACGTAACTGCAGTTATAAGAAAACAAAAAAGACGCTGGTATACTTAGAAGAAAACAATCTAAGAAACGTAGCATTTTGTATTTACAGCCAATCAATGTAGAAGATAACCTAAAAAATTCGAAAAAGTCGGGAAAACTGTTTTTTTGGCGATAAATACCTACAAAAGTTGATCTCCAATGCAAAAAAAGTTCTATGAAGATCTTTTTAAACAACTTATCGATTAGCGTCCAGTAAATCAAGTTCAGATGCGTTAGTGGTAAATAAACTTGAATAAAACACCAACAAAAATAGTCGTTTTTTAATTTGTTAATAATTTTTTTCTCGAGTGAATTTCGAGATGATATTTGGTGGAATTATGAGTTAGAGGTTCACAAACCTTCAATAATTTATCTCCGTCAATTACAACGTTAACATTGTGTAAGGAGATATTGATCTGAAACTTTTTTAAACAATCAAGGGGTGTTTTCTGCTGAAAGTGCAACAGAATTCAGGTGATAAAAAATTATTTCTTTGGTTTTAGATGCAAAGAAAAGACTAAATTAGCATTATGGATTTGTGTCGATTCCTTTCGGAAATCACTCGATTAATCAGGTGGTTTCTCATGAAAAATCTCATCTGTACAGATTTTTTATTTTTCATGTGTTTTGTAGTACTTGTAATTGTTTTTTTCAAAAATTTTGTACTTTCATTTTTTTCGGGAAAATTGTAAAAAAAAAGTCCAAAATTAACTTAAAGCAGTAAAAAAAAGTTTAAAAAAAGAAAAAAATCACATGATATTTTGGCATAAAAAACCACCTGATATCCTAAAGGAGGGTCTCATTTGAAAATTTAAATCTTTGACGACACTTGAATGCAAAATGTGGAGTTTTCATTTTTTCTAGGACATATTATTTTAAAGTTATTAATGCAAACAACATTTCCATGCATTTTAGGGAACTAAAATAATTGTATCCAAGACTTGGATGGTGTTTAAGTCGCGGGACCATGGAAGTCACGGGAAAAATATGGACTAATTCAATATTTCCTTGAAAAATGCTCTCATAAACGTAAGCAATTGTATTTAGGATTTTTAATTTTGACGTTTTGTACATATACGTGATGTATAGGTCGAGGATGTCACAGAAATTTTTGCAATTTTTTCAACCCGATAAGCAAGTGCTACAGGCTCGCGAATTCGTAAATTCAATTTCCCCAAAGTAACCCATAATACTAAAGAATGTTATGTGTATCTGTTCGAAGCGTTTGGTGATCGATTCGGAATATGATGTGTTGAAATACATATAGCGGTTTTGTACATCTATATATGTACATACGTCGACTCGGATAGTGACTTGTACAAACTTTAATGATAAGTACAAGATATAAATGTTATAATGTCGAATTTTCTTGAATAAAATAAGAAAGTCGCAAAAATTTCTCCCGTGCAGATCCAGCAGGGTCCAAAAATTTTTAGCTCATTTTGGTCTTGGACAATATGAAATAAATGTTTCAAAAATTAAATATGCATTTGTCTATTCCAGCTCTTAAAATATGTCAGTTTTTGTAGAATTACTCATATGTTATGTGACCTACACATGGCTTTTCAATAAAAAATAAAAAAATAAAATCATGAATGATTATTTTAAAAGTTTATGTAGGGAAGACAATTAGATACGAAAGAAGAAAAAACAAATGTCATAAGAGTATGTTGATTTTTATTATTTATAAAGGATAAGTTTACATAGATTTACCGAGAAATATTAGGTTGATTTGTTTTCTGAAAGACTAAATGATATTTTAATGACATAAGCAAGTGTTTTTTATGTTATTGATCCTCATTTCTCTTGTAAATGATATAGTGTACGCACAATACCATACGTATATTTACACATTTATAGTTATCATGTACGATCTTAAATATAGGTGCAATTACTACTTAATAAAAAATTATTTGATACTATCTACTTATTTATACTTAACACGTACATTGGCTGAGTGGCTCCCTCACTAAGAATGGCTCAAAAAGATGACCAATGCCTCACAAACTCTTTGCTGAATTACAATAGAGTTTGACAAATTGTAACACGTGTAATTTGATT